GAGGAGAGGTGAATGAATCCCAGATCTTATAATCTGTTTAGCTTGATCAAGTGATGATGTGGTCAGTGTTAATAAGGGGGCACAGTTGGCATCTGGGTCTGTATAAGGCCTACCCCATACATATTCTTAAAAAAGGATCAAATCACCTGTTTGTAATTTGTTCTTTTTTAAAGATAAACATACAGAGCTCCTTTTGCCTCTCACTATAAGGCCTGCTTTCTAATCCTCCTAGTACTCTTGTGGCTCTTTTGAGAGCCTTGCTTCAACCAGTCCACATCCTTTTCAAATTATAGATGCCAGCACAGGATACAGTATTCCAAGAAAGGTCACACCACTGCTAGAAAGAGAAGTAATAAAACCATCCTGGTCCTATTTGATATATTGCTATGTATATACCCAAGGAGCACATTAGCCCCTTTGGCCAAAAAATCCCACCGAGAATTCATGCTCAGCTGATTCATAATCCATAAATCCTTTTCAGAGTCACTGACTACCTGGATAGAATCCCTTGTCTTCCTGTAGTTTTTGTACCTAAACACATGTTTTGCATTTGTTTGACTTGAAATGCATATTATGTGCTTCTGCCAGCATACCAAGCAATTTAGATCATAGAATCATAGGAAAGTAGGGCTGGAAGAGACCTCATGAGGTTACCTAGAGCAGTCTGCTGCTCAAGGCAGGTTCAGGTTCAATATCAATGTTGATTGTTCTGACTGACAATTGTTCTTTGTTCTAATTTACCTTTCCCCAGTCATTGTGTTCAATCAGCACAAACATACATACTTTTCTTCCATGGTTTGAAAATGTCTAGGGTCAAAACCAAACCCTAGAAATGCAATTGATCACTGGTTACACTCAAGACCTCTCAGTTATTAGTTGTTAACCTATGTATTACAGCACCTGATGAAGTGACCTGTGACCCATGCAAGCTTGTGCTATAGATATAGATATACTGACTGTGGTTAGTATATAACAGAGGTTCTCAACCAGGGTGCAAGGGCACTCTGGGGTGCCAACAGATCCTTTGAAGGGTACCATGAAGTGTAAGGAGATAAGTTGCTAAATCCAAGCTCAGGCTTGTCCCTGCCTGATCCTCTACCCCCACCACCCAGCCCCTCTGCAAGGAACTAAACACTGTAGTATATATATATTAGGTGTTGAAATAGGGAGCCACCCTTTACAGAAGTTATGAAGTGGGTGGAGGCACCAACTTTACTGGACTGGACATTGTGTGCAGATACCTGACTCTTGACTCCCAAAATAAGTGCTCTGCTCCCAGCCTAGTAAAGGCCTGAGATCCTGCAGTGGTCAGAGGAACCGCTACAAGGATCCACTGAAGGCACACCTCAAAAGAACAGACACCAACATCAAGAGCTGGGAGGTGCTGGCTGCCAACCAGCAGTGCCACAACCTCAACCAAGCAGCAGCCTGTTTTGAGGAAAAGTGCCTCATCCTGCAAGCAGAGAAGAGAGAGTGGAGGATGGAAAAGGAGAGGCATCCCCACCTGTGGCCTGCTCTCCCCCATGCAGCTTCTGCAGACAGCTCTTTGGCTCAAGGATTGGGCTCTTAAGTCACCTCAGGACCTTTCCACAAGCTGTGGCAAAGAGCATCCTTGAACAGAGAGCTCACCAACGGCAAAGGGGGCACTTTGAGTCCAGTGAAGGCTTTGAACCCAGTGAGCCCCCTGGTTTAGATGGCTAAGCTCTCCCCTGCCATCAACCAGACTTCAACTAGCTCAGAGAACTTCACAGCCCATAGCAGGGAGAAAATTAACCAGACAGAATGTTGCTGGTTCTATGAACAGGCACCTAGAGAAATTGTAGAATCTCTGTCCCTGTGTTGGCTACAAACGACCAACTCACAGGATCATCATAAAATTCTAGTTTATTGGACGGATGTAAAAGTCAGACCATAAACCTTGGTGCTATTCCCCTCAAATACACATACATCCATGCACACACACACATTAACAGTAGCTAGTTATGAACACTAAGCACTGGTGTCAAGATATACCTGTCCCCAAGCACTGGAGTCCACTGTCGATGGCTAGTCGAGGCTTCTTTCAGCGCGTTATTGCTTCAGAAGGGGGTTGCTGGTCCTTCTGGCTGGACTGACAGGGTGCTGGTCAGGTCAAAGTGGGTGCCATTGGGGGTCATTCTTCACTGCCTTTTATCCCTCTCGGGCAGACTTTGGCGACTCCCCAATTCTTGGGTTTACCCAATCCAGGGGTCGTTGACCTCAACGGACGTCCCTCTTGGTAGCTGTTGGATGGCAGCGGTCAGCCCCAGGGGTCATGTCCGCAGGTACGTGCAGTCTCAGGAATCCGTTGATGAATTCTGACTGATTCACTACCGTGATGAATAGAGCTCTGGAAGTAGTTGATCGGGGGTATTTCAACCCCAAGGGTCTGTTTCCAGCATTGATTAGTTCAAACCGGGGCTTCTGCACCTTTAACAGTGAAGTTTCAGGAAGTTCCTGGCTCTGTATTGATTCTTTCCTCTTCTTGGTCTGTAGTTTTGTAGGTGTTAATTGCCACTGGTTAACTTGTAAAAGCATCTACAAGCTCTATTTTCAATACAAGTACACATTATATAAAAATAATATATTAAAAGAAAAAGAGAGAGGAAGGAAGAAAAGAGAAAGCATCCCCAAAAGGGGGCAAATACTGCAAAAGGGGCTTTTGCCATATGGAGGAGCTTCACATTTGGAGGTGGTGGGGGCAGGCAAGGTTTCTTGCTATACCTGGAAATTTTTAAGGGCAGGTTGGACAGACACCTGACTGAGATAATTTAGTCTGTCAAGAATACTGCCATAAAAGTCAAATTCAGCAACTGTCCTACACTGAATGAGTGCCTCCTTTACTTGTGTAATTCCACCAGGTGTACATTGGCTAATGGTACACCATGAACCTACTTTAAGACATATGATGCATCTTGTAAATTCCAAGTTGTACTCAGTGATGCTCTCAGATCCATTGAAACATTTGCTTAAGGGCTATAAGGTTGAATCTGTTGTCGACAGTCTCCATTGGGAGTTTCCATGTTGAGGTAATCTGAAGCAAAACAGAGTTGATGTAGCAATTTTGCAAACCTTTTGGGTACCTAATAATGAACAAAACTGTAAAACTGTGGTCGCCATCCTGCAGTCCAACATGGCCACAACGGAAATGTTAGGCTTGATCTTGGTTCATACAATGTTTGTTTCATTATTGGGATAAATTTTCTAACCCTGGCAGGGGCTGAAATATTAACCATGGCAACTACACACACTACTTACCAGCTTAGCAACGTGACTTTTCTGACACAGCTGGATCACAGCTATCTGAAACGCACTGCTGTCACTTGACCTTATTGGTCAGTTTATACCAGTGGTGGGCAAAATGGCAGATCTGGCTGGCAGCTGGACTCCATTTCACAGCAGTCCTTGCTCTGTGGGTGGTTTCCATGGAGACCCCAGTAGTAGCACCCTGACAGGTGGGTGCCAGGGGTTGCATGGAAACCGGCCCCAGGGGCACTGGCAGGACATACCGCTTGGCAGAGAGCTGCTCTAGGGCTAGGCCTGGATCTTGCAGTGGTGACAGCGTGGTCAGGAGCTGTGACAGAGCTGTAATCTGCTGCCTGCACACCCGTGCCTGAGGCCTGCGGGCAGCAGGTGGCAGTTCTGCCCATGCTGTCACCGCCATGAGATCCTGGCCCACCTGCATGCCCTGCCAACACTGCTGGGGTTGCTCTCCATGGAAACCCTGGCCCTGAGCTGTCACAGCGCTGCTGCTGCTGCTGGGGTCCCCATGTAAACTGGCCCCAACGACACATGCAGGGACTGCTATGAAATGAAGCCCGCTGGCCACCCCTGGTTGATATCCTAATCCCCAATTTTTGGATTTAAAAAAGTAACTGAAAATCCGTATTTTTCCATGATTAAAATGAAACACCACCATATATATATAAGTGGCATTTCATTTTAATCATGGAAAAATATGGATTTTGGGTTATTTTTTTTAATCCGAAAACTGGGGAATTTTTTAAATCAGAGAAAACCAGGATCCCTGGTCTTGACCAAGCCCTATGCTCCTACGAGCCTATGAACAGGGCTGGCTGCTTCTCCCCACCCTGTGCCAGGCTGGCACGGCACGGGGTCTGCCTCCCCCCGTGGCACCACAAACCAAAGGCCTCACACAGCCCCGCAACCCTTTGCCGGCTCAGCGCAGCCTCCGCCGCATACAGGCCCGTGCCAGGACTCCCAGAGCACTCCCCCCAATCCTGCGTCCAGGCTGCCCCGCGCCGCCCCCCACCCCTCTTCCAACACAGCTCCCTAGCCCCGTCCCTCCCCTCCCCACGCTCCGCCTACAGCACGCGAAGGGGGCCAGGCTACAACCACCACCCCGCGGGGCATTCTGGGAAGTGTAGTCCCGCTCGGGGACACCAGACTCCCTCCCGTTCGCGCTTGCGCACAGGGGTCGCGGCCGAGCCCTCCCTCACACCCGCCCCCCGTGTTTACCCAGCAACCACTGCGGCGCCGGGGCGGTTTGCGTAGCGCGCGTAACGCAGACCTGGCCTCAGACGTTCCTCTGCGGTAGCCAATGGCAGGCAGCGTGGGGGCCGGGTCTTGCGCTCGGCGGGCCAATGAGAACGCGCCGGCGGCGGGAAGGCGGAGCCTAGGGGGCTGCGGCTGAAGGTTTCGGGCCGCAGCAGCAGCAGCCGCCGCCGCAGCCGCAGCCGCTGGTGGCGGGGTAGGTAGTAGAGGGGTGGTCTGTCCCCTCCCTTTCCCTCCCCCGCTCCGGTGGCCGTTAAGGGCCTTGCTGCGGCAGTTGCTCCCAGGCGGTACGTGCGGGGTGGTGTACGGGTGCCGAGCGGGACAGGGACAGGACCTGGCTCCCCCCGGGGGTGCTCAGCCTCCAGCCGCAGGCACGGAGCCCGCAGGGTGGGGAGATTTGTCAGCAGGGAAGTGGTGGTGGTGAATAGGGCCACCCTCCCCCCCTGCCAGCTTCACCAGCCCCCTCCCTGTGCTGCCAGGTCTCAAATATGAGATTATCACGTGAGAAGCTCAAAATGATGGTATTTGCTGCAAAACCGGTACATGGGGAAATGAATGGAAAAATCGTATTCAAATAAGTATGCAATTAAGTCGTCTTTACTTGGTATCACTCACTGTAAGGCCCTAGCGATTGAGTAAGCACTGAGGCATCAATGTTGATGCATTTCTTTATTTCGAGGCAAGCAGGCAGCCAAGAGAGCACCGACAGCCAACCTAAACGTTTGTTAAGACTTCCTGAGGGTGGCTTGTGTTTTGCATGCGCTGCTGCATCAGTTATCTCAAAAATGACTGTACTTTTTTTAATCAGAACTTGTGTTAGAGGTGATCTCTTTTACTAGACCAACTAGGTCTATTAAATAATAATAATAAAAGAGATCACCTTTACTATGAGTTCTGATTCCTTTTCCCTCTGGATCAAGATGGCAACAACCTGGATGCCACTGTACATTTTGAACATTTTTTACTATTCTTGATCGTACAAAAGTTGAAATTATCATACAAATATAATTATTGTACACATGGCAACACTGTGACCCCCCTCTCCTCCCCACACCAAGACACCTTTAAGCCTTCCTCAGTCAGGAGGGCCAGTGCATATGTGACAGTTAGGAACTAGGAACAATGAAAGAGCAAATGGGGGTGGGAGTGGGCTCGCAAGTTAATGATGTTGAATGCACCAATGGGGGATGCTGAGCAGAGCAGAGCAGGCTCTTGAATGAGTGCTGGTAATGCACTAGCCCTGGGGGTACCACCCCAGGTAACTGCCTGAGGATGTGCGTGGACATGTTGCCAGTGACAGGCTTATTTCTTGTGAGGTGAGGCAGCTATGGGCCTAGGCCAGACGTTCTCAAACTGTGTGAGCTCTATTCAGGTGGCCCACAGAAAGGCTGTGGGACAATCAAGAATATCTGTACTTGTAAGACTGCTGATACTAATTGTGTGCTTTGATTTGTAAAATAAAAAAAAGTTTATTAAGTGGCCTGCTGAGACCCTCAGCAATTTTCAAGTGGTCCATGAAAAAAAAAGTTTGAGAATCAGTGGCCTAGGCCACCAAGGGAAGCCCCACTCAGGGGGGCCTAATGAGATTCTGGACTAGAACAAAAACAAAAATGGGTATGGGAGTGCAGTTCAAAGGGTGGTATTCCAAGGGGAGATGCAGAGCATGCCAACAAGCATCCACTGGCCTGTGAATGAATCCAGAGCTTGTGGACACCGACCAGTGAAACTGCCTAGAGATGTGTGCAGAACGTCAGAAAAAGGCCTATTTGTTACACATAGGGGACTGTGAATCTCAGTCCACACTGAAACTGTCAGCCCCTTCAAGAAGGGGCTATTAAGAGTATAACAACTGAATATTTGGGGCAAGTAAAGTGAAAACAAGGATGGGAGTGGGCATCAGGGGTTCATAATGAGTGCTTCAAGTAGGGACACTGAACAGAGGACATGGGCCAATGCCTGCTGGCCCTTGAACAAGTTCAAGAAACAGGTGTACACAGCCCTGTGAAACTCTGCCTGGAGACATGCACGAACTGTTAGAGACAGGATACTGGGTCAGGTGGACTACTGAATTGGCCCACTATGGTATTTCTTATGTTCTTACGTTAGGGATGAATGAGTGTATGTCAAAGCGAAGAGTATAACACTGACAAGAAATACTTTAGTTTTCCTGCATGTAAAAGAAAACTTTGGGCAACAATAAGGTAAAGCCAGAGTTATAAGTGTAACAAAACCCTGTGAATGTCAGTTAAGAATGTAGTTTCCTTGTTCCCCAGTCCTTTAGAAAAGTGCCTTCAACTCCATCTTCCTTGCGATGTCCAGCATTTTGCCTTCAGATGCCCTCGGCCGAAGAATTCTGTGTGATGCGGAATATGCAACTGTGCAGTATGTGGGCAGTGTGCCACCTACCAAAGGTAGAGAAAGAAAAAATAGATTGTTAATGGTAAAGGTTTTGTAAACAAAAAGTTTAACTTTGGCTTTCTCACACTAGGCTTTCTTATGTCATATTTTTGGCTCTTGATCAGAGTACTGTTTTGCTGCCTATACAACTTTGTTTATTAGTGTAAGTTGTCCCAGTGACCTGAACAGCTGCATTATCTTAGACTTTTTTTTTAAATGCCGATAGTTGCAATTATAGCATCTGGTTACAAAATTGTCCAAAGGACTTTAAATCCTGAAGATAGTCTGATCCAAAATGGAATGTTGAAAAGGCTTTCCCCTGGCTTCAATACACATTTCAGATGGAGACACATCACTGGTTGCACAACACCTCAGGCTGTCCTAGTACAGGAAAGCCCTGAGACAGACTCATTATTCTTTTGGAAGGTACTTGTGACCATCTCACTGGATGGGAAGGACTAGGGGAGAGGACAAGAAGTGAACTGGAGTGAATATTTAATACATTCCTACTATATGAATTAAAACTTCATTCATCTTGGAGTTCTTGTGACCTACACAGACAACAAAAAAGACACGATGTCACCAGAGCCCTTACAGCCCTTGCAGCCTCAAATCAAAGTGGGACTCATGATCTAAACAAAATCCTATTTTGACAATGATTTTGAGGATGTTTTCTAATTATGAAGTAATAGCATCCTAAGCTAAACCTCCTCTTGGAACAGAGACTTTTCTCTCTCAAGCCCAGTAGAAGAGGATATTAGATATAGCATCTGGGAGATTTGAGAATTCTCAGTGCATTGGCACAGTTTCCCATTTGCAGTTACCTTTTTAGGGAGAGACTGCAGCCTGAAGTCTTTTGTAGGTTTTTTGGATAGTTTAGGTTCCTTTCTGTTTTCCCTCTTCAGATTCTGTCTAATATTTTTGTGTAGCGCTTTCACATAAACAATCTCATGCAAGCATTAGCTTTTATTAAACAAAAGAGTGTGAAAAAATGAGGGGAAAACACTTCATAGAAATGTTTTTTATTGCTGTTAGGAACCATGTCAGCTGCGGGCCAAATCATTTTGCAAATGTTAGAGTTGTCAATAGCTTTTCAAGTAAGAATTTGCATTAGAAATTAGCTTTGAAGACACTGCATCCCCCCCCATAGTTAACAAATCTAGTAGATAAAAATGTTTAATATATTTGTGAATCGTATTATTATTATTTAAAGGAATTTGGATTGGAGTGGAGTGGGATAATCCCCAAAGAGGAAAGCATGATGGTAATCATGAAGGAATACGGTATTTTAAATGCAGGTAAGTTGGTTCTTGTGCAAGTTGTATGTGACCAAGGCTATAAAAATGGGTGGGGAGAGAACCAGTACGTACAGTAACTATTGCCTGTTCATACTGTGTTCACTGAAGTCTGCCCTTGAGTATTTAGGACCTATTCCAATGATCATGTAAGCTGGTGCATATTTGGTCAGACCCTAAACTAATGGTTCTCAGCCTTGGACTCGAAACACTCCTTGTAAAGTGTGAGCTCTTGGATTTCACTCATTTTCTGACTAGGGAAAAATAATAATTATTTTTTCTGCAAAGAACTCAGACCACAACAGCTAAGAAATGCTTTTGTTACTACAGATTTCTATTTGAAAACCCTGGGTGTAGCCTGTGAATTATGTGAAAGTATTTGCACACATAACAGTGCTAATAATTGTGTGGCACCCCGTAACACCCTTAAAAGGATTTCACAGTACCCAAGGATGCCATGGCACCTGGTTGAGAATCACTGCCCTAAACTCTAGCTTTTACCACTGGCTGTACTGAGAAGCAGGTTTCCAGGTTGATCCAGCTGTAAGAGCTAAACCCAAATATCTAATTTTAAAGAGCCTGTTTGGAAGTTGTATTGCATTTGTGAGGTTTGACTGCTGGATGCCACTGATGGCTCTGTGTTGTAGATTAGTGGTTCTCAATGTTTCTTGTACCAGGATCCATTTGTAAACATCAGTGGCCAGTCCTGACCCAGTGCCTGTCACTCCTGACCTTCTGTCCCCCACCTCCAGATCTCAAACCTCCCAGTGTGTGGGGCAGGGGGGAGCCCCTTGCAGGCAGGAACTGCCAGCCTGCAAAGGAAAAGCTACAGTTTTCCACATTTTTTTCCTTTTGAAGGAAAATCCATTTTTTTAAGTTTGTTGATACATTGTTAAAATTTGTTTGCAATCTTTTCATATATTATTACAACCCACTTTTGGGTTGCGACCCACAGGTTGAGAAACACTGTTCTAGATAGAGAGAAGGGTGTTTGGGCAGTTGGGTTTAGTGGAGAAGCTAACATGTCCTGCCCACTTCGTAAAGCTGCAGAATTGTGTGAAGCTGGTTGTCAGTTACCAGTTCTGTGTATGTGTCTCTTGAATTCAAATAACAATTATTCAAACACACCTTAAGGCAGGTACTGTTGAGTTTTGTGGGGTTTTCTTGTTTTGAGGGAAGATGTTTGGTTTCTTTGGTACATTTAATGGATGATCATGGGATACATTTAAGTCTTTTGTAAGATATTGAAGCTTGGTGATAGCTAGTGTATATTTTTGAGGTTTGCTGTATGTAATGACATGTTACAGTTCCTATTCTGTGTTAATATTTTACTTCATTTGCTGCTGCAATACTACAGTTGCTTTAAATATATATTTAAAAAATCTTGGATTTTTGAGGGATAAGTAGACAGAGGGAACCTCGGCAGATTTTTTTTCTTCTGTTTGTTTTCCCCTAAAAGCCTTTCTCAACAACATGTTTTCATCCTTCCACAATGTCACCAGTCTGGATCAAATCAAAAACATTTTCATCAGTTTGAAATTCTGTACTTTATTGTTACATCAATGTAGATATTAAGGTAAATTTTAAACACTCCGCAGACAAGAATCGCAAAAGCCAGGGCTGTCCTAATAATGTTAAATTACTCACGTTTTATGTGGAGTATTTGGGTCATAAGTTACAGGGACTAGAGACTTAACTGGAAATAAATGATATGCAGTAAGGCAAGATAAGGATTTTATGTAGGCTAACTTGTGTGTGTTTTGATTTTGAAAGTCTTTGTTTAAAAAGGAAAATTATTTCAGAGGATCTTTTTAGGGATAAAGTTTTTTTTTTAATTTTTAAATCACAATGTTATCCATATCACATTGCATTGTACTTATGTGTGGCTAATCTTATTTCTGTGATAATAGTAAAAACAGTAGATTTTGACATACAATTTTCCTTTACCATGAAATCCAGGATTTACCCATTCCCAGCAGACTGAAGTATTTCAGAGAAATCCAAATAACAGAATGATGAGAGGGGACCAGGCGATCTTGTTTATACATCCTTTTGTATGTGGTTGTGTCCTACAGTCTCCAACAACTACTACAGGGCAGTTAACTTGTTGTCAATATTCATTTTTTTGCAGAAATTTAGTGCTTTAAAGTAGTCAGTACCAAAAGTTTTTATCAAACTACATAGCTACATAGCTTGCACCAACTATTTAGAAGTAGTGGAAGGAGAGCTTTTTTTCTGTGTTTTCTGTGTGTATTTTCTCAGAATTGTTCTTGCTTTTGTTTGTCATTTGGAATTACTACTTCAGGCAAGTGATAAAAATAGAAATTAAATAGAAAAGGCTTCTGGAGGATGATCTAAATACTACCTATGGCTAGAAACTACCTATCTTTCTTTACAATTTCTGTATTTATGTGAATCTGAGAAGACTGAATTTAAGATGATTCCCCAATATACATGAACAATTTATAACTTATAAGTTTCCAAGTATAGAATCTATTATTGGAGTGTTGTCTTAAATTTGTGCCCCCTCTGCTGCAGCAGGGAAAGCAGTGGTGGGAGGGCAGGTGGTGAGGGAAGAAGTTGGGGAGCAGGCAGTGGGGTAGTTGAGCAGCCTGACACTTGCCACACTTTGCCTTCAGCTTCATGTTCCCTCAGCCACTTGCCCCCTATCCTGCCCAATGCCTGCCCCTGTCCTCTGCTTTGCAGGGCCTGCCCATCTGGCACCTGCCCCCCTGCCTGCACCACCTGTGACCTACCCCTGTGGGGCGCCTTCCACCCCCTGCGGCCGGCTAGCAACCCTCCATACCTGCTCAGAATTCTTCATGAGGAAACACCCAGTTTAGACCAGGGAAGGGACACTTTGTGCCTGAAAACTTATCCAACAGCTCTTCCAATTACACTCAGTTTAGTAAAAGCTATGACAAAAAATCCTTACTTCCTAATGAGGAACAACAATTCAGCCTCAGATGATTGCTATTGAAGAGTTTACCCATTATTTTCTTTTTTTTATTTGAATGATTAAGCAAGTTACAGCTCCTAGAAGGATTTCAACCCCCCTCCCCCCCCCAGCAAAGAGGTTGAAGTGAATGAGGGTGGATTCTGTTTGACAGTGTCAATCAGAATTCTGTCTGCATGCACTAGCACTCTGGACTCGTATGGGGGGAAGCCCTAGAGGCTTAATTATCAGAAAATGAGATGATAAAGCTAAGCCTATTCTTTAAGAGGGGAATGGAGAAGGAATGAGAGATGGCTTTGAGGGATGGATAGTTTTGTGCCCTACATCGAATAATAGTAATTAATAATAAAATTAGGTTTAAGGAAGATGAAGCTATTCTCAGCAGAAAAGGAGAATTAAACATAATGACTCTAGTTAGCCAAAAAATTCCAATTCAGAATCCCAGGATTGCAGTCCCTCCTAAATTTCTTAGAAGTAAGGGTTTGTTAAAGGCTTTTAATTCAGTTGAACCAAAAAGACGTAGAGATCCTCAGTGCCCAAGTCTGAACTTCTTATACTGCCTCTGAGGAGAGAGGATTAAAGTGTGTGTGAGTGAGTAAAGAAGGAGGGTACAGCATACTCATTTTATTGGCATATTGGGCAGCTCCATAACACAATGTCAGTTCCAGTTTATTAAGTATTATAACAAAATGTTAGTTATCTGTATATTCGTAGTGCATAAAACACTGAAGTGCACAGCATCTTTGGGCCCTACTGTCTACTCTGTAACCTAATTTTATGTCTTGTAACTGCATAGCTGCTGAAAATGATTATGAGCCAGCAATTTCAAGATTCCTAACTCAGCCTTGAACTGATTAGCCTGTCAGTTTTCAGGCTGCCACAAAAGGCAGAAGGTTTTCTGAAAAAAGTTGCAGAGCTTTAATGAGGTGTGAAAAGCTTAGGCTGTTGTTCTAGTTTAATGAGCATTACGGAGAGTTGAGGTTAACAAATAGTCTTAGCCTTTTGTCAGTCCTGGTCTATGCACTTAAACAGAGTACACTACTTAGCAAAGATAAAGGTAGATAAAGGTAGTGCATAAAACACTGAAGTGCTTTGTAAATAAAGTTAGATCTTTGCCATAGATAAAGGTAGTCAAAAGGTGGAAGTGGTTTCTGCATGCTTCTGTTGAAGAAAACTTGTGAGAGAGTTTTAATTTAAACATCTGTTCCAAACTATGACCAAAGGGCAAGGTATCTTAACACATTTATTTTGTCCAGTGTAGCAAACCTTTTGGTTTGAATTATCCATACTCTAGTAGTTTACTGGGATTTTGCTCATCTGTAAGATTACTGTGTCTAGTAATGCAAATGTACAAGTAGATCCTAAAGTTGCATGTCTCAGCCACAGTGGTTTGTCTGGATCTGAGTTGTAACTGGCCAGGACTGTACCCAGGACGGTCCCTCTGTCTTTCCTCCCCGTGTACCTTTTTGTAGGGCTCTGGCTCTAGAAGCTTTGGCAACAGGTAGCATGCAGGAGAAGCCGTGGAATTTAGGCCTACTGATGGAAGATGTTGCCGTTTTTTGCTGCAGACAGTCATGTTGAGTGGGCAAGCCTCCTCTACCTGGCTGCCTTCCCTCCTCCTCCCTCCTCCCTCCTCCCCCCCACCCTTTCTGGCACCAAAAATATAGGGCAAGATCTCTACTAGAAGCCCTGAGTTCCACTGCTCCTGCTGTGTGATGAAACTACATCCCCCACCATGACCTTCACTGACTGACGCTCTGCTGCCTACTTGCTGCCAGGGTTGGAGCTGCAGGGGGAATGGGGGATGGCTGGGTTAGGTGTTCCCTGCTCCATTCTGCACTCTCCCCTTTTAGGCAGCCATCCTCCTAACCTGCTTGTATTATAACCTGGATCATGTATTATACTGACTTTTCGAAAAAAGATTAAAAAACCCCCAATTAAAATGAGAAGTAGGGAAGGGGGTCAGAGACTATCACAGCAAGCTTTAGGGTTCAAAAACCCTTCGTCAGGCTAAGGAAATTTCTGCAGTGTGTGTGTTCTTCCTGAA